TATATATATATATATATATATATATATATATATATATATTGGGGTGAATCGTACATCATATCAGCTGAAACTGCCACCATGAAGAACCGTAGAGCTTCATCGCCCTGGACAACCACCGAAAAGACACTGCCTAGATCTATTAATGACATGCCTTTAAAAAAAAAAAGAACGACTACAGACGCTCCAACCACAAAATGCCGCCTGCAAATATGCGGCGTTTTACTCTCAATACTTACAATTTCACCATGTATGCACCACGAGAAGAGGGAATTCTTTGCTTTGATTACATCCGATGGAACATAAGGCTTTTTTTCCCCCCTCTCACCGACCGGCTGCTTCAACTCAGTACGCATGCGTCTCCTTTCCGAGCCGTAGTATCCCAGTGAGGAGAGTAAACCCTGACAGTGTTGCACAATGTACCTATAACCCTGTATGGTAGTGACACATCATAGTATGATATTTAGGTGCCTCACAAAAAATAAGAATGGAATAGAAAATGCAGTTTGTTTTATTTAATCCAATTTAAATGGTGAGACTAATATACGCCTATAATTATTTACAGCTCCTATTACTGATCATTTGAAAGAAATGTGACTGAAAGTTCATGAAAAATCATTAACTTATCCCCTTCCCCTGCAACAAGACTGAAAGAATGTAATAAGCTTTTATTTCTGTCAAAATTGAAGGTGTACCACCTAAATGAAAAAACAGAGCTGAATTCTTCTTTATTAAAATGATACATAAGACATATACAAATAATTTTTAAATGATTTAGTATAAATATAGAGTAATAACACTGTAATAAATTAGACTATTTATCTATTTAACATACCAGAAATTGCACTACCACTTTACTGTACATTATATACTGTATATATAAGTCACCTTAAATCTCTCCTTTATTTTTTACCATCCACTGTATATATCTGGATACACTGTATATACTTCATGCACCTTTTCCTCCTTTGTGCATCTTCTGTTTGTTTATAAGAGCCAATGTCAAAAGTGAATTTCTCCATTATATAACATCAATAATGTTATATTCTATTATATATGTTTCTGACAGGTTATAGCCAGCATAATAACATGGAGGACAGCTGATCTGGCAGTTGTCCTGCAAACAATCCTTAATAGCCATTAGAAAGAAAAAAAAAAGTAGCAATTATAAAAGTTGGCTGATCATAGCCTAATGTGTCCAAAACATCATAAATATCAGCTGAGTGGAATAAAATACTTCATACTTTTTTTTCCTCACTTGCAAGATCTGGCAAAAATGGTTGTAGCTGGTATTTAAAAAAAAAAAAAAACAAGTTAAAAATAATCCACTGGACTTTGTTTCTAGGTTAAAACTTGGAAACAAAGTCCAGTGGATTGTTTTTAGCTTTCTTTTTTTGGAATGAATATGACCTGGATGACTGAGAATCTTTATCAGCACGTTACAACTGATAATCGATACAAAGAACACCTTCAATAATTGCAAAACAGAGCTCAAAGCTGTCATAGACAAGTTAAACTAAGCTATTGATTAGATTTTTCTGCATGACTTAGTACTTTCCCCAACTAACTATATTACTAATACCTTGTTTAATCATCATAGGCACCTGTGCTTAATTGGCCAACAAACTCCACTATATGAGATGACAGCCCATAGAAATGAAACTGAAAGTTGTTATTTAAGCCTTATGGGAAAGCATTATGGGATATCTTTACACTTCATCAGAGTGACACAAATATATTAGATTTAGCTCTCAGGGTAATGAATCTGAACAATATTCACACTAAACTTTCTGAATTAAATACATTTTTGCTGCATTGGTTCAATAAGACAATGAAACTTACGTGTAATGAAATTTAAAAATGATATCCAAATTTACTGACATATACCTATCATAAAATTTTTTTATGATACTATACAAACAATTTCTGTTTAAACAAATTTTAAAGGAATTAATCAAGATATGATAAATGTAAACTTAACCTTTAAGTTTTTTTTAAATACCTGCCAATAATAGAATATGTAAAAAAAAAAATATTAAGCATTAACTGATGCAGATTTATTTAATTGGAAAATAAATCACCTTTTTTTTTTTTTTACAGCAATAGACTAGAGACCTGTAGAGGTTGTACCCTGCCTTTCACCCCTAGACTGAAAGGCACTGGATCTGCCGTGGCCCTAATAATACATGGGAGAAAACGGATGGACCAAGTTCTTTTTAAGCAACCAACATTTGTCCGTAGTCGCTGTATATGGTCCTGAAAGCTTGCTGCTTCCATAGTGTGTATTGTAGTTCAGTCTACTGGTTTACTCTGAACATTTTAGATCTTGTCTTCAACACTATTGAATAACTATACAACTGAGCTCGTGTATTGAATAAATGCAACACATTGCAGAAGTAAGGCGTAGTATTGGCACAATGCATTTAAGCATGTCATTCCAGCTGTGACATGGAAAACAAACAACCACAACAGGAATGTGTGCAAAACATTAAACAACATACATTGCATCCAAATGTTTTAAGACTGGAGTATTGCAGACATTTATTTTGCAATAGCAACTGCAACAAAGTGCAGGCCTAACTGCAAGGGTCTTTGCTTTGATCATATTCTCTGCATTTCCAAATCCCCTGCAAAAACCGTACTCGATACTTTACAACTACCAATGTTTTTTAACTGCTCAAGCATAAGGAACCTTTGAAAAACTGCTGCCAATATTACACTATAAGCCACACACAAAAGGCAATCAAAGCATTCTCATCTTAACTGGCTACATCTATCATTGCATTTATTAACTGAGAAAATACTGAAGTGCCATTTTATCTTGTTATGGCTTAAAGAAGCCACAGTTTAAAATAAAACTGGACATATGATTCATAAACAGAATTAATCTTATTTTTCTTTTCTAAGAATTACCTCCATTTAGCTAATATTTTCAGGATCTACAGCTGCATTTTTATTTTAAATTTTTTTTGCCATATTCAGATCCTGTAAAGTGGTGTAAAAAATATATATATTTTAAAGAAGGTTTCTCATCTCTTGCTTGCCTTGTCACACTTTTTGTATGGGGTTTCAGTTTGTATCACTGTTAATTAAATGGTAAATGGTAACTGTTAATTACAGCAAGAACAACATAGGTCCCCAGCCTAGGGTCTTTCTGCATAGAGCCTGCATGTCCCTCTGTTTCTATAATAGACTACTGGATATAGGCAACAGCTCCTTGTGACCCTAAAGGACAAGTTTAATACTAATATCCATCCATGTATCTGCTAATAGCAAATAGATGGATAGATGTTTTTAAACTACTCTGTTAAGTAACAGCTGTCCAAAGTTTTATGCTATTCTTTTTTAATGAACCGGAATGGGCTCAGTATTTATTCTAATGAGAATTATTTATTATGCTTTATTGTATGTAACCATAACTAAGAGTTGATGAAGCTGGCATACTCCTGATTCCATTTACAATACTGGGTCTGTTACTGTTTTAAGAAAGTTTCCCTTTTTGCTGGTTACACGCTAAGACATTTCATTATTTATAACCGACTCTGCAAATCTTTATTTATTATATTCCAATGTTTCACTTTACTCTTCCTGTACTTTTACAAACTGTCATCAGAAAAAATCCTGTGAAGACTGATAATATAGAGAACAACACTGCCATCTTAAGGCAACTATTACAAAAACACTAACATGATTATCCCTTTGCAGGGGCTATATGAAACATTTGCTGACTGATGATCGTGATAGTGATTATTTTATATTTACAACAAATTGGAGTTGCTATAAACTATCTTTATACATTGACACTATTTAGTATAAATACCTTCCATTTTAGATTTTTAAACCTATCAATGCTGGTTATTTGATAGAGATCTATACTGACAGTGACATACATTTTCTCATGATCACTTCAATATAATCTATTTTCTAACAATATAAATACTTTCTTTTAGAGCTCACTGTGTTTCTAGCAATGTCAATCACAAGATGGCACTATGCACTCAGCACCTGCTGCTTCTTCAAAACTCCAGCGTGACACAGCTTTCTATGTGCTTAATTTTCACCAGCACATTCATGCTGTTCCCTTTCTGGGACATGCTATGTGTTAGAGGTGCCTCCTGATGGCGTGAAAATCAATTTCACCTGATCCACATTAGAGTAAGAGAAACCACAGAACTGAATCTTCTTCTGACAGTTTTTCACTCTTCAATATCCCTGGATAAATAAAGCCTAAAAAAAAATCAGTAATACATTTTTTGTTTTGCTATTCTATCATAGAATGAATCAGATAAAATCATAAATTATTTTCTCAAAGCTATAAAAAAAAACACCACATCTGTTGCATTTTCCCATACTTGAAAAAGACAAATATGGAAATAATCGCAACATAAACCTAAATTATTTTTTTTTTATCATTTTCTGAAAGCAATTATAGCCTTACCTTGAAAGAAAATTCAAATATTACATTTAAAATTGTGTTCCCATAGGGAAAGCCAAACAACTTTATTCACAAATGGAGCCTTACGGCAAGGTGTGGCAAGGTTCACACCAACAGAGGGCCCCGGGTGGGATTTGCTACCCAGACTACCAAGTGAATGTCGTACGTGCTGACCAGTCAGCCAAAGGGACATCCCCTTGGCAAAGAAGCAAAGGTGCATGATCAGTCAGTGTGACAAGCCCC